GATATTCACTATGGGTTTTATGTACACTGCCTTCTGCTCGAAGGATCCATTTTCAAAATAGACATTTATACACCATTCGATAGAGAATTTGAACAGCTACATTTTACACTATTTATATTTGAGAAAAAGAGTTACTTCGATTTTTTGCCTAATGTCCGCCTGGATGCCCACTGTGTCATATATACGTGTGTACATAGTGGATGTTTTTTTTTCAAGAAGATATTATGTTAGTTTCTAAAAGCATGCTATATGCAGGTTATCAGTTATGGAGAAATCAATCATGGTGTTTTCAGACATATACCGGAGATGTTCAATTCAAAATCAGGCGGGCCCCCGTTCAAGTTGGTTGCTGTAGTGGTAAAAAAATCATATTCACGAAATAAGAAATCCTTGATTCCCCTCCCCGATCGCGCTCTATTAATGAGGTGCATAACGATGAAGAAGTATCTTCGTCATCCGCAACTACAACGTCGAAAAACCATGAAAGTGTATTCTTAAAAAAATAAACTTTAAGACATTTGTGAGAGAGGGTTTGGATTATAAAATCATATACTTTTTATGAAGATCGATATATCTAACAAAAATCTTCATTTCCTGAGAGAGCGACCTTTTAATCAAGGTCCTTAATGTACTTGATCCACATTAAATCCTATAACTTTCTATCAAAAACTCTAGCTGCCCTCAAGTACCCGGTCGGATAGTATTGTTTATTCATTTTTGTTGCCCTTATTCCTGTTCTTTTCATTATAAATATTTCATTATGTAATTAAGCAAAAACTAACGAGACTAAAAAGAAACATAACAGAAAGAAAAAAAATGACAAAGATCTTTTACATATAAACGGAAAGCAAAGGAAGATGTACAACAAAAGGAATACTATGCTAAGTTTACTTCTGTTGAGCACAAAAGACTCATATGAAAAAACAAAATGTAGTGGTCCTTCATAAAGAAAGAGAAAAAATGGAACATTAAAATAAAAATATTAATATCGTACCAACAGCATGTAAATAGATATACAGAGACCGAGAAGAGCTTTTTGAGCGCCACACTGATACAGCATGTATTGATAGAAAAAAGTTTAAGAAGACAAATTCATTTTCATCGACAGATCGATACACAAGACTTATTGTTTAATTAATAAAACAATTGACTGACAGGCGAATTTTCCTGAGTTGAAATGAAACACATAACCCATCGGGGGTGAGCAAACGAATAAATGGAAGAAAAAAAAGGAAGCAAAACATATTATAAAGTAGCCGTGTTCACCTGTTTAATTTTGTTCTTAAAATATAATAAAATTAGATCGATGAAATTGATTGTGGCCGATCTAATATAGCCGTTGATAATAACGATGACGGTGTCGACGATGGACGAGTTAAATCTTTGTCACCAACTAGAGTCTTTGAAATACTACTTTTTTGTGATCGGTGCTGCTTTATGCTTTCAACTATCATAGCTGTTTTCAAAGATTGATGGTTTTTAGATGCATTGCTCGTTGCTAATAATGGTGAACATGAATGATTAATGTCGTTTGAAGATGAAGAGACAGATGAACATGTTGAACTTTTTCCAAAGTAATCACGCTTCTTTTTAGGACAAGATATTATTGCCGTATTTCTAAGAAAAAAATTGATATTGTATAAAATAGTATCAACAAACGCTTTCAAGTAGAATAATATATCGAGTGAAACAGGATCTAGATAACGCAACTGGATGGTGTACATGTCAATTGAACCATCGATTACGCGAAAGCACTGTCAAGCGGGCATTATTCAATAGCAGACAGACATCACAATCTTTTGATCGTAAATTATATTTTCATAAATAATTATCACTCCTTAGGCATCTCTAATGCTTTTCGAAAAAAAGCAAATTAAATGTTAAAAAGTTAAACGTTTTTAGGAAAAATCACTTGTTTTTTTTTAAAAAGTCGATTTTGCTAATTCATGGAAAATTTTTTCGATGGATTCGATCCAAAACATACTGTGTTATCCGAAATAGACAAGTCAGAATCACGACTCGAGTCTCATTTTCCTATGACTCAGACTCGAACTCACACTTGAAGCGAAAGGCTCAATAAACTAGATAAACTGACTCGAGTCACTTTCGAGTCAGTTAGTCATACGCAGCTTTGGATTATTATGACGGTGTTTATTATATTTGTTATATATCAGAACAGACGGACAGATTTGAGAATATTCTAAGTAGAAAACCTGTAGCGAAGTACGGGAAAGATAGCGCAATTTGACGCAAATGTAATAGATGTGAGGTATCTACAAGCATTTTGGCAAAACTTCATCGTGCTTAAAGCTTAGGAAAATATGGAACGCTCATTCAACCGAACGCACCTCTAGGAGAACATTGTTGGCTGGGAAACTACTTTCAATTTTTCTGGTAGTTTAAGTTCAAAACAAAAACTTTTTGCATCAAAAGATAGCCATAAATGGCGAGATTCAGAAAAATGATGATTTCTGTTTTCAAGTTTCTTGAATTTAATAAAAAATATTTTATGGCACACCTGTGTGTTTTCAGGCTAAATTTTAGTCAAGCTTTTTCTCATGATTCTTAGCAGTTGAGGCGAGCGTTTTTATACCAATACATAGCACCTCCATGGCGTGTATTTTCCATCAAATAAATCTGAGAAAAGCGTACTTTCGATTTTTTACTAAATATCACAATCGTTGTCTGCTGTGCGAGGCAGTTAAGTAAAATCTGTCATAGTAAAACATCTTTTTATTTTAGAAACATGAATAATCCAATAATCATGTCTCATAGTATCAAAATATTAAAAAGTCGTATATTATTTATTTTCAAGCAGACTGAACAATTAAGACGCTTACTTTAATTGTTCAACTTCAATATTATTCAATAGTATTGGTTGTGTCGTTGCCAGTTGCTGATACACTTGTTTAACGTCAATTGGATGTACCAATACTTTATCGACTAGATTTGATTGATGATGATGAGATGTTTGATGTTCTTGTGGATTTTTATTATCATGGACATGAGGACGAGTCACTACTGAATGAACTTGTACTGGTTCAATTTTTTTCGTGGATAAGAGATTGTTAATGTTTGATGACAATGTTTGGATTTGGGAAATGCGTGACGGAGATCGTCTACCGGTTTTGGGTTGTTCATTGACTTTGATTAATTTCAATGGTGATACAATACTTGATGGCTCTGTTTTCGAAGTTTTTTTATGTAAATTTTCTTCTTTTCGTTGTGCTTTTACAATATGATACGATGGCGACGAAACTTAACATAAAATTAAGATAATCACTGTTCAATCGAAAGAGAATATGTTACTCAAGAACCTACTAAAACTTTGAGCAACGTTGTATGAAACGTTGCATTACAAAAAGAATCGCTCCACTACATACCGGTACTCAGTGATTTATTGGTCGAAAATTCCATTGTTGCCGTTGATTCTCTATCTTCATTTGTAGGACTAATTGGTGAATAGCATATAAGATCATTTTTGGTTTTTGTCAATGGTAATGAATTTTCAGTAATAATTTTTTCTTTTGTTGATCTGATCGTCAATGTCGGATCAATTGAGTTTAACATATTCGATTTAATACGTTCAACCAATATCTGATCATTAATCGTTTTATCATGACAGTTACGCTGTAATTGCGTTTGTAAACTCATGTTTGCTAACAAGGTTGAATAAATATTATCTGTGTGTACACCATTACCATTTGTCTTGTTTACACTAGTAACTTTGTTTAACACAGGAGAATTTCCTGCTTTTATGTGTTGCTGTTGTTGAGTTTCGTTGCTAAAATCCTGTTCATTTATACCATTATCTGATGTAAGCCCATTTAAAAAGGTTGTCTAAAGCAGTAAAATTAGTACGTTTAAAAAGCAAATTCTTTTGAATTAATCAATAAAAACCTCTGCCTTATACCCGCTGTACTTTTCGTTAGAGCTCAATTTGTCCATAGGCGCTGTTTAATCATCTTTTAACTTCTTAATATGACAGAAGTATTGCACTGTTTCTGTCTAACAGATGGAACAAGGTCAAAGCATCTAGGAATCGACTCTGATCGATGTGAAATCAAATAATTATGATACTGGATACTGTTGTGTTTAAAATTTCATCATTTTTACGATCTTATATCTCAATTAGATAAAGAACTAGTTTCAAAGTAAAATAAAATGAGAGCTATCGGTGGGAAAAAACAAAATTTAGTCAAATTACCATTTCTTCATTTTCATTGTCTAAATCACTGATTTCTTTATTTAACAATGCCACTTTAGAACACAATTCTTTGTGTGTATTCGATATATTATTTGCATACGTTATTAGCTCATCGGGTTTTTCTAAATTTTCAATACCCAATTCTTTTGTTCGTAACTTTAATAATTCAATACTTTCTTCTAATAATGTTTCAATTGAATTTTCTAGATGAACAATTTTTGTTTTCAATGATTTATTCAATTCCATTTCGTCATCTAACTGTTTTTTGACATGTTTATGATATTGTTCTGTTTTCATGTAATTAAAATAGTCAATCAAACGTTTACGATATTCATCGATATAATGATTGACAAAATTAAGAAATCGTTGATCTTGTTCTTCAACAAGACATAAATCACGAAAACTTTTTAATTCTAAATTGTCATTGAATAATTTTGTCATTTCACGATAATTATAACGGTTGTTTCCATTTAAATTTGTTGTTGTTACACACGAACGACCATTATTATTATCAGTAGGATTTATCATTGTTCCAGAAGCGTCATGCAATTCGCTTAAAGTATTACGATAATGTACCGACGATTTTCGACGTTTAACACTCAAATGTTCATCAGTGTCAAATTCATCATCCACGCCTGAAATGAAAATAATTAATATCACGTTTAAAACGTAAGTGGTTAATACGTACTCAAGTCAAAATCATTATTCTCTTCGATATCTTCATCATCCTCAGAGCAAAATTTATCCGGTTTTCGTCGATTTCTTGTTGCTCTCGACGTTCTTCGTATACCTGGTGTGCCCACTGGTACTGGTGTCTGAATTTTTCGTTTTTTATTAACAGGTGGTTTATTTTCATCATGTTTCATTAGCTTCGTCTTTAATTTGTTGAGCTCGGGTGATGATTTTGATGAGCACGAAGAGATCGAGGAATTGTTAGATGTTGAACTCAATGAATTTTCATCATCTCCATTAGTATGATTTCTAAAAAGTAAAAGAAACACAAAAAATGACAATATTATTTAGTCTCACGTAGTTCTATGTAACTTAAGGCTAGCCTCTCCCCTCTTTTTTGCAGAAAACTTTTCATTTTGAGCTGAACACAGTCTAATGTAGAGGAAAATCTGGGCTATAAAATAAGACCACTCCCAGCTCTCCATGACCTTCCGTGAAAAAATTCTGACGTTTCTAATTTTTTCCTTCAAAGCCTACAAAATCTCAATTTTTTAGCTTCGTAATTTTTCTCTCCTTTCCTATGTATTCAAAATTTTTCTTATATATAGGATGATAGAAGAAAGTATGCTCTTCAAAATGAGATGTTTTCCAGAATTTTCCGATGAGTTTTCTTGAAGATATACGCATAGCCGCAAATGCCCTGAAAAACAGAGCCCTGTGTACAATATGTGTTTTTTTTCAATAGTCCCTTCCATTGGCACACATTACGACCACCCGAAAAAATGGCCTGATCGAGGTCAACATTTTACCACAGATACTTCAGACCGTATCTCAGGTTCGCTCTTTTTAAAGTGTTTTCGACTTCAAATTTCGGCGTGAAAAGGTTTTCAAAATGAAAAACCGATTTTTTATATGGGACTTTCAGTGTTTTTCAAATATCTCGAGAAGGACAACATATTTTTCGAAAAGAAAAAAAAACCTGAGATAGGGTCTCAAGTAACTGTGGTAAACTTTTGAGCTCGATCGGACCATTTTTTCGAGGGGCCATAATGTGTGCCAACTGGAGTTTTCCAGAAAATCAATAGAAGAACACGTCAGAAAATTCTGGACAAAAATACATCAATTTTCTTTTTCGATGTTCTATCTCTGGTATAAATTTGAACTCGATCCAACATCGGCTTCCTTGGTTTCCAAGAGCGTAAAAAAAGAGGTGAGAGTACCTTTTTGTCTCCTACTGTAAACACTAAAAGTACAGGTGATCGTCTAAACTTCAACATACTTTGGTTTTGATGTTTTTGCATTGTGTTGTCGCTTTTTATCTTCATAATATTTTGCCAGTTTTTTGTGATCAATCATGTGTAAAAAATAATGGACACTTTTATCCGACCACGATACTTTACCATAGAGTTCATCTGGTTTACTGACGTGCATTACTGCTCCAATATCATTTTTTGTTCGATCGTTTAGACGAAAATCGATTGAGCAAAATTCTTTAGATGACACAATTTTTGCTCCATCCTTAAGTGAAGATGCCAGATAAACGATATGTGAAACAAAACAAACTTTTCCTTTTGTCTTCTAAACGTACCTTCATATTCATAAATTTTAATTTCAGTTCATGATCAACATTTGCACCAAACACAAAATTGTTAACGAAAATGACATCGGCTTCTTTAATACGATCATTTATTTTTTCATGAAGTAAAAAATCGCCACGTTCCAGTTGAAAATCTGAAAATCTTTTACCATACCATCTCATCCAAAATCGAAATTCTGTCTCCATTGCTTCCGCATATTTCGCTGGTATCTCTTCATGTTCAATTCCATAAACATGTTTACAATCCGCGAGTGCTAGAAGAAAATTATAAAGAATATTTTTTTCGCACGATATATGCGTAAAGGGTACCTGCTATTTGAAGTACGACGTTTCCAACGCCGCTTCCAAGATCGATGAAAGTATGATCTTTTTTCAAATCAATGGTCTTAATAATGCTATCAATTAAATCTGTTGATGTCTCTCCATAAACTGATGGAGAAAATGGTTCATAAACCCTTAGCTTTTCTGGATCAGTAACGGCGCGTGTGTAAACTTGTTGTAATATATGTTTGAATAGTTTTTGACTTGCACGCTGTTGTAATCGGGCTGAAAAAGCTTCTGTGCCACGATTCAATCGAATTAACGTATCAATAATTTTGTTGTATTTATCACATAGTTCTTTCATTTTTTGATACGAATGTATATCATAATTGTCCAAAGAAGAGTTTTGTTGATATAATTCTGGATAATCCTCGCAAACAAGTTTAATAGTCTTAACGATTTCATCTCCACCGACAAAAACACCATCTTTTTTAGTAATCGTCTTTTAATAAATAAAGAAATGCTATAGATTAAAACATAATTGATGAGACGAAATCCATAGTAAATACATATTGAAATTCTTTTTAGCAAGAAAGAAAGAAAAGGCGTTTTGTACGAATCTAAGAATAACATTAACTTACTGGCTGTAGTACTTAAGCTTTCCTCGAGATTTATTTTCCTGAATAATTAGTTGGATCTGGCTTCGTACTCAGGTTTTTCGAAAAAAGAGGAATTAAGGAGTAATCGCAAAATCTTGAAAGGAGGAACGCTACCAAAAAAGAAGGATGTAAATCCTAAGCTAGCAACACTAATTTAACATAATAGATAGGCGAAACAGAATTTGATTATATTTTGACACAGATGGAGTTTTCTGGTATCTTCTGAAACTTTATTTCAAAAAAATTGAGCGAAATTGAGCGGAAGAAAAAAAGTATCTGATACGTGTTAACGGGAATGAATGGAATCTTTTTTTTTCTAAAAATTTATATTTAAATATGGAAAAAAGGTAAATTTTTACTGCTTTTATGAAATTGTCAAAAAAATATTCTTGGCTTCAAAGCTCTTAGGTGGATCTCGAGTGGTTTTTCAAGAAGATTTTTGGAATATCACCTTGCCAGTCGGGGAAGTTTTAGTTAAGAAGAAAATACTCACAGCCTTTTCAACAGGCCACGTAAAAACAGCGCAGGGTTCGCCTGCGGGACTGTGTAACTTCAGTTCAAGAGCCATTAATACGTTTCACCAATCACATCTTAAAATAACAATAACAGACATACACTCGTGTAAAGTATATGTAACCAAAAAGTAAGACACACTAACCTAGCACTCGTTCTGCGAAAAGTGTCCTTCGCAAGTACAAACGCAAAGTAGAATAGTTTCCCGCTGTAATCCCACACTTGCACAGCAGAACAGTTTTCTAAACTGCGATTCAGTAAAGTCCTGTAATTGAGATAAATATTATCTGAGAACCTTCCGAGCTAGCCCGTAATGACTTGACATGCTATCATGATTTTCTCCTTTTGTTTATTTATTTTTTGTTGCGTGCGCATGTGGTATGGATCAATGCATAGTGATAGAATAAAAGCGACCAGTAGGAAAATAAATGCGGAATGGGCAGCAGTAGCTACTACCACTGCTTAAAAGTGGCAGTATAGTAGCTATTGCCAATTTCCGTCGTTTTTGCGAAAGTAAGAGAATCAGAGTACACAAAAGTGTTAAAAATGGCTTTTGTGGTAGACTAAAGTTGGAAGTACGCAAAAAGTGACTCGATAGAGGGCGCGATATGCGTCTGAATACTTGAATCTATTTCAGTCTTCTCATTGGTGAAATAATTGAACGGAAAACGTCATGCCATTTTCAAATCAACAGAAATCAGAATTAAGTCTCTTGTAACTTCCACTTTGTATCTCCATTTTAGATTGAGCATATGTTGTTCTTCTCTGATTTCTTCCTTAGCGTTGTACTCAGCTAAGACTAGTGCTGCGAGGAATTAACTTTATTTGAATTTTTATTTTCTCTGACACAGATTATTTTAGATTTGTCCATGCACATATGACCGAATATCTCGAAAGCACTGCTGACCCTCGACTTTTCTTCCACCTTGGTTTTTTTTGCTGTATTTCCTCTGGAAAATATGAAACTGATTACTTTCTGTTTGTTAGTCAGAATATTACCAAAATTCTGCTCGACGATCAAATAATTGTGAAATGTTTATTAACATGTAAGGTGCCGCTAATTCAAAAATCAAGCACTCTTCATTTTTCCTTGAAAGACACATCATCCGATGCAGAATTTTGTGCTGATTACGAATATCACCTTTTTAGTTCGATTTGTTTGAGTTTTGTG